CCATATTATGGGAGATAAACATATGGCTAAGGAAAAAGGTGAAGGAAACTATTCTCACCACATGTCTGTTAAAAATGTTTTCGTCGCCTCTTCCTTGGTCATATGTTCATTGGATAGCAGCCCACTCTTGTGTTCCACCAAGCAGCACCAACAAATAAAAATCTCCACCCATTCCCTGCCCAGTATAAGACTGCCAGAAATATATAACCATTACAGGTTCATTCTAAAGATGGAAAATGCAGTATTTGCTGAAATTTTGGATAATTGTGAACATCTGACACAGCTCATCTCCAAAATCCAAAGTTGTACACTGAACTCCAGCTGTATAAACCTAAGGACAAGAAGTCCTGATTGTGTTATGTACGAGTCAAATTAATCCCTGTTAATCAGTTGTTAAAATAAGACATTTTGTGTCCATACACCAGCTTCTCACCATGAGGGTCTGGGTTTGTGCCCAGGTTAATCCATATGGAGTATGTGGTACGTGTAGTGGCACTGAGACAGGTTGTTCTTTGAGTCAGTTTGTCTCTCCCCTGTCAGTATCATTCCAGTGATATTTTATCTTTGCTCACATAATAGCTCCGGGGCAGACGCGGGCCATTAGCAGTCACAGTTGCACAGAGGCATGGTATCACCCCACTGCAACAGTAAAGGTTTATAAACATTTCTCCAAAGTCAGTAATAATATTTAGGCAGACACACAGGTTGCTTTTAACAAGAGTGGAGAGCTATTTTACATCAGAGTATACTCCTCCGCCCCCTTGATGTTCATCTGTTGCTGTATATATCTGTTGCTGCTAAGCTAATTGCACGACATGTACAGACTGCATGGTGTAATGAAATATTTTTCATTTTATTTCATTAATATTTACCACTAAAAATGTTTAAAATAGACGTTTTATGTCTTGTTATTAAGATCTGTATTTCGGATTTTATAACATTTTTGTGCACTCAGCTGCCACTTACAATATTTGTAAGTTATGTTTCAGATGCTTGTAGTTTCATTATATAAAATTAAAGCTAACAAAAATTAAATTGCTAGATAACTTTCAGCATAGACCCACAATATCGTAACTTTAAAAATTAAGATTGAAAGTGATGATGAAATGTGTATTAGGGACCAAGAAATG